TGGATCCCAGCAGCCTGGCTCTCAACAGTGCATTTCCCTGTGATTTTGCCCCCTTTAAGGTGGGGGAGCCCCTCACCACTGTGCTCAGAAAGGCTGTGTTTGTGAGCTCAGTGGAGGGCAGAGAAGGGGCTGTTGGCTGGAGAAACCCAGGCAGCATTTGAGGCTGGATGTGGACACAAAAGTAGGGTTAATTTTCTCACAGTTCTGGAGGCTGGATGTCCGAGATCAGGATGCAGGTGGTTGGGCTCAGGTGAGAGGCCTTTGCAAATGGACACCTTCCCGCTGTGCCCTCACATGGCAGAGATAAAGCCAGCTCTCGGGTGCTTCTTCGTAGAAAGGCACTAATCCCATCAGCAGGGCCCCATCCTTGTGGCCGGATCTAACCCTAATCCCCCTCCAAAGGCCCGGTCTCCAAATACCATCACATTGGGGGTTAGGGCTTAAACAGCAACTTGGGGAACACAATTTGGTCCACAGCAGGGACTGTACAGATGAAAGTTTTGGTCAAGGGGACGAGTCAGGAGTTTAGGCTCTGTCTGCATGTCCCGGGAGATATACTGTGTCTCAGAGACACCTGGTGTAATGTCACTCACATATAGTCCTTGCTGGCCACTCAGGGCAGCCTCTGAGTTGAGAGCAGTAAGTGTCAGGGTCTGACCTGTGAATCTCACTTGGAGAAACTTACAAGGAGGCCTGGTCCCTGCTTAGTTAGGCCTGGTGGAATCTCTTCTCTTACCTAGGAGGCCCAGGGGACCCTGATTTACTTTGCTGATTCCCCACAGGCTCTTGGCTGAACAGGAAGGTGGAGGGTGCTTGGCCCTGCACTTGACCTTTCCCTCTCTCTCCCCCAGGCAGGCAGGTGGGTGGGTGGGCTGGCTTATCCAGGGCGGGGCCCCATAGTGAGGCATTGCCACGTACATGTGGGGACAGGCCTGCACGCCCAGGCAGTCTGCAGGTCAGTCAATGCTCATGCCCGAGGGCCTCGAGGGAGGCAGACGTGGCTGGAACCCAGGGGAGCAGGGGAATCGTAAGACAATACACAGATGGGCAGTGTTGGGAAAGGGAGGGCGACGATCGGATGCTTCCTTGCAGGACGGGCCCATGGTGGCCTTAGGAAATGTGTGGTTGTGGCTTGAGCTGGTCGGGACACATGTGGAAGGACACAGAATGATCTGGAAGGTGAATTTATGGGAGGGTGCGGCAGATTCAGTCCACATCCAGTGAACCTTTACCAAGTGTCAGGGGCCAGGGTGGTTTTCGAAGGAAAGGTCGTGTGAGCAGGTGGGGGCTAAGCTCCTCCCGGAGGCCACCAGGACACTGTGAGTGACGCTGGAGGGAAGCAGGTCGGGATAGAAGTGCTTCCCGCGGCCCCAGCTCCCACCTGGCCGGCTGCGCCGCCCTCCCGCCTCAGTGCCATCTTTCACGCCTGAGCAATGAGAAGTCAACTCAAATGTCAGAGCAAACGCCTGGCTCGTTCCTCCAACCCCCAGAGAGAAAGACGGCTTCCCAAACAATTAGGTATTTATTTTATCATCTCATTTGTGGTTGCAGGCCACTCTGTGGGTTTGGATCGCTGCTGCTTTCCAGAATGGCAACTGGATGTAGTAACAAGTGCTTTTCTTTTGTTTCTGTTTTGTTTAAAAAAAAAGAAAAAAAAAAAGCAACTTATTTTGCAGCACTTGCTTGCGGCTGAGGCCTCCCAGCAGAGGTTTGGGGTCGAGGCCTGAAGAGATGGCTGAAGAACAAGGAAGCAGGGTGTGTGTAGAATGCTTTCCTGCCTGTGGTCGCGGCCTGAGAGCTGTGTGCTTGCCTGTCCGGACGGATGCCGCGTGGCTGCATGTCATCAGAAGAAATTCTGCTGAATTGGAGAAAAGGCCTGGGCAGCGGGGGAGGCTCGGCTCCGGTCTGTGCTTACACAGTTGGCTAGTCCTTCCTTGCGGGGCAGCGGGGCTTGGAGAGAGTCCAAATTGTTCCTCCCTTGATCTGAGCCGCCGTGCGATCATGGAGGAAGGGGGCCGGGGAAGAGACGGCCGCATGTTCTGTCCTGGTTGGGACTGGTTTCCACTGTAGGGCCATCGAGCGGCACGCACCTTAGGCGAGTCTCTGACTCCCATCCGCTCCGCGACACAGATGCGCTCGGGCCGCTCCATCTAACTGCATCCCTGTCTGTGTTCTCAACGGCTGCAGGCTGCTTGTAGGATTAGTCAAGGTGACAGGTTCGTGGGTCCGTGTTTCTTAGGCTTTCAGGTTGGTTATCAGTGTTGATTAATCAGTGAGCCTCTTCCCACCTGTCTCCTAACTGAATCCCCAGACCAGCGGGCCGAGTCACAGGTTTAGGCCTGGGCTTGTAAAAACGCAGCTTCGCTCTATAGACCAGGGGTGGGCAAGCTTTTTGACTCGAGGGCCACAATGGGTTCTTAAACTGGACCGGAGGGCCGGAACAAAAGCATGGATGGAGTGTTTGTGTGAACTAATATAAATTCAAAGTAAACATCATTACATAAAAGGGTACGGTCTTTTTTTTTTTTTTTTTTTTTAGTTTTATTCATTTCAAACGGGCCAGATCCGGCCCGCGGGCCGTAGTTTGCCCACGGCTGCCATAGGTCTTCAGCTTCGTGAAGCACCACCGAATGGGGCAGTGATTCTAGGGCCGAGGCCCCCCTCTCTGCCTTAGGGAGGGTTTGTGGTTGTCACCCAGGGGGGCATACGGTAACAAACACTGGAGGGTGGTGGAGCTGGGGCCCGATCTCGGCTCTGCAGTACCAGGAGGCTGCTCATGGACAAGTTGCTCCATCTTTCTCTGCCTCAGTACATTGATCTGAGAAATGGGCACCACACCACCAACCCCACCTATGAAGAAGGAGGGTTGGTGGTCTGGGTCTGGAGCTGAAATTCGAGTTGAACTTTGGGTCTTAGTTGACTTAAAAGGGGCCCTTTCTCTGGCTCTTGCTGCTTTGTCTTCCACCAAGAGACAGACAATTAAAGAGTGAAACTTCATGACTAAACAGGAAGCTGCACCCCAAAAGGCCACAAACAAACCGATGGGTTAGATGCTTTGTAAATTCTCTGAACTCTGGTGCAGAGGGGTGGGGAGTGGAGGTAGTGCAGGCTTCGCTTCTTGGGGACCAGCCTCTGAGACTCCCCCTCAGAGCACCCAGGTACTGGCCAGCTGTGTGGAGAGCCTGGTCCCTGGGGTTCCACCTGGGTTCAAATCCCTGGTCTCAGGGTGTGACCTTGGAAGGTGCCGGCCCCTGGTACCTGCTCAACGCTGCTTGAATGGGTCCATATGGACAAAGTGAGAATGTCTTGGCCATGACAGCACCGTGGAGCTGATTTTCTCGGAGTAACAACTGTGTCAAAGGCTCTCCCTTAAGCTCCAGTGGGATCCACCTGCTGTTGGACAGAGACGGGGAGGTGGGCACCCGTGTGGTGGTGGACATGGGATGGTGGACACAGGAGGTTTTCATTTCTGGATGCATTTTGAGGGCAGATCCAGAAGCATTTGTATACGGAGGGGATGTGGGCTGTGACCAAAATTGGCCTGAACAACCGGAAGTAGGGAGTACATTTCCTCTAATGGGGACAAGTAAGTAGAGCAGGGCTATTTTCTGGGGCGGGGTGGGGGGGGCATGGAGGTGGGAGTGAGTCGGGAGTTTCATTTGGGCCATATTTGAGAGGCCCTGTGGGCAGTTAGGTGTCTAAATCTGAAGTTCAGGTGTGAGGTCTGGGCTAGAAAACATGGATTTGGCCATTGTCAGGATATAGGTGATATTTTAAGGCCCTGAACGACGGGCTTGGGACAAGCCAGTGAGTAGCAGAGGTAGGGAAGGACAGTGAGCAAGCTGCCCTAGGGCCACAGGCACCTGGAATTGCGTGTGGGTCTTTGTGCTTCAGGAGACGGCCTGAGATGCCCGGTCCAAACTGTGTTTATAGCAGCTACGGAGAAGGGCGGGCAGGAAGATGGTTATTTTGTCCTGGGCTGCAGCCGCCTGTGATGAACCCCGAACAAACCTATGGGAGCCCAGCATCTGGGAGTTCAGGTCTCTCTCCATGCAGAAAAGAGCTGAGTGCGCCATGCTCACAGGGGAGCTTCAAATCTCACCGAGTGCCTCTCCTTGAGAGAGCACCTGGGTTTAGCTCATAACGCTAGTGAACAGGCATCTAGCAACGGCTGGGTCACTCCCCGGGGGAAGTGCATCTCAAACTGTTTCTCAACCAGGGAGTCAAAACGGACCCTGGCCATGTCCTTTGGCCATTGAAAGGGGCTGGAGCGAATACACGTTTGGAAAGCTGTAGGCGTTACACAGCTAAAGAGGGCAGTTTATTGTGGTTTTCAAATGAAAATGTGACATAATGGAATGGTTTGTAAAGTCGACTGCTCCTTTTTAAGGGCCTTCGGTGCTCTGATTGGGCGGGGCGATAAAAATAAGTCACTTTTTAAAAAAATTGCTGACCAAAGCAACAGGAAGAAAATCTGAATTCTTAGGAATTTGCATGCCCACTGAGGTTGTATCACCACTAAGAACAAAACAGGGGTCCACTTTAGCACCTATGAAAGCCTGAAGGAGGATTGCATGGGAGTCGATCCCTCATGAAATTGATGTTCTTTGCAGCAGAGCTAGCTTCTAAAATCGCATCGCACTCGCTGGCCATGGTTTGAAGCTCCATGGCATAAGCAGCAGCACGGTTGCTTTGTCTCGCTTAAACCATCAGACCAAAACGTCGCCACAATCTGCGGCTGCACTCCTGTCTCCCCACTTCTTTCCACAAAGTCCCTCATGTCCGTGACGGTCGCCCTGGTTTGGGGTTAATTCTGGCACCCATGTTAAGATGACACCGGATTTGGGCAGAGGGTTCCGTTCTGTCCTGGGTCCCACGTGGCCCTGATTTTCATGAGATACTCATTAAATGGCTGATATGAGCATGGGTTGCAAGCATAGTAGAGGTCGAAGATGACGTTTTATCTTCTTCTCAAAAATGGTTTTGCAAATCTCTTTCAGAGCTGATAGACACACCCCTTAGCTGGATACAAAACATATTATGAAACAGAATGACTGTGATCTTTGATCCGAGAAATCAAAGTTAAAGGTAATTTATATCTTCTGCCTCTCCTTTTGTTTTCCAGCTGTGTGTTTCCTTAACTTGAATAAAAGAAAACTTGACAACCTGAAGTCCATCCTCACAGACACCATTTCCTGCTCTTTTAAGGGCCGGACCCCCGCCACTTCGTAAGGGGGCCCCCTGGGGGACACCCCGGGGATGCTCTGGGTCTGTGAGGCTGGAGCTCCAGGTTGGGGCGGGAAGGAGGGGGATGGGGCGCTGGGGATTTGCATGCTCTCCCAGGGGCCCCAGCACCCTTCCGGGGGACTGCAGCCTTGTCATGCTCCCATCTGAAAATTCTGCTCCTGTACTTTGCCACCTCTTTTTGGGTTTCGTCTACGTTGCTTGGTGTATGCAGTTAGGCAGGCTCTCGGTCAGCGGTGGGGCGTTCTGCGCTGGGAAAAGAGGGAGGGCAGGTCGATAAGAAAACCCAGGCAACTACTCTCTCGCCACGCTTGGGCCGCCTCCCGTCTTGATCTCATCAGCTTAACTGGCCGCTGGGTGTCCCCACTGAGCTCAGCACAGCCCCTCATTGAGCTTCAAGCTGTAGATCCACCTCGATCGGCTTCGGGTTCTGGGCCTGCACAGGGCGCCTGGCAGCTGACACTTTATAACGCAGGTGGCGGGGGGCTCTGTGGGCGCGTCCACGTGGGACAGTGAGGAGGTTGCGTTCCCTCTCTGTGCCTCAGCTTCCTGCTGGATGTCATCCTGGCCCATTCTGATCAGACCAGCCGCGGTGCCCAGCACCCGGGAAGCGTGCACCGGGAGCCAGCCAGCCTCAGCACTGGGGTTCCCGTGCCTCCTGACCCCTCCCAGTTGCCAATGGGCTGTGGCTTTTGAACGGTGCCTTGGTCCGTGAAAGTGGTTCATAGCTCACAGGACAGACCCTGAAGTCCTCATGCCAGTGGCCCAATGAAAACACAGAACAACCCTCAGATGACCCTGCTCCCCAGAGGGTGGTGCCGCTTCGATGCCACCTCCCACGGGCAGCGTGAACCCTGAGTCAGGAGGGGCACATTCTCAGCCGCGACTACCAAGACTGTCCACAGGCAGAGGAAGCAGTACCACCACCAGTGCCCACTGCTGGGCCCCCACCAGGTGCAGGCTCCCTGAGGACTTCACACCCAAGGAGTCAGGATGACAGAGAGGCAGCTGCAACAGCAGTGCTGAGAGGGTAACCCCTGGGGACATGGTCCTCCCCGCCCTGGTTAGAACTTGGCAATGCTTCTGACCCGCAGGGGCCGGGGACTTGGCCTCAGAGGGGATCACCAGTAGGAGCTCCTCAGACCCCACCACAGCCCTGGGCTGCAGGCTCACCAAGGGGTTTTGTCCTTGTCACTGAGCCTCAAAGGTCTAGCCCCTCCGGAAAGCCATGTTCCCAGAGCAGCAGAGATGCTGGGAAAACACAGATCATTTCACTTGTGAAACCAAAGTTGCAGGGAAGACACAGGGCCCCTCTCCACCTGCTCATGGGGGACAAGGGCCTGGAGCTGGCTCTTGACCTTCAGAGCAGCTTTCCCCAGGTGCAGATGGAGCGAGGGGCAGAAGCACCCGGAGGGCACTTCCTGTGTTTTGTCCCGCCCTCTCATCTTGCCCCACTCGTGGGTCTCGAGACTGAATCCGGCCGGGTGCTGCTGGAGAAGGGCAGTGGGCAGGCCTTGGCCTCTTCGATTTGGCCCAGAGCGTGCAGCCGCCTCGATTCCCGCTCAAGCTCGAGTGTCTTTCTGGCCACGGCCCTTGCGGCTGGCCCCAGGCTCTTGTGGGCACTCACGTGGTCTAACCAGAGTTCAGAAAACATGCTTGAGGTTTGGGAGAGAAGCAGGATGGGGTCTGTCCACTCCCTTCCTGTTGCTTTTTTCTCAGGGGATTAAGTTCCAAAGTCAGCAGTTAAGGGGAAAAGGCCTAGAGTCAAAATTACCCTTGAAAACCTCTTCAGTTGTACCTGAGAGTACGTGTGTGTGGTTTTCTGTATGCGGCCCTGCGCAGCCATTGCCTGCAAGCTGATGTGTGAGCACTTCGGCTCAGCTGGAAGGCAGTCGGCATGCATCTGTCTGGGCCTCCAAGCGAACCAGAATATTCCCCGGGGCAGAGTGGGATGCTCACAGAAACCAATTCTGTTTTTAGAAATTTAACCCTAAGTTGCCCCGGAATTGCTTGATGCACAATACCAGGAAGGGGCATTGGCTTCCCCACATTGCCACCCCCAAAAAGTAGGTGAAGAAAACACTGGGTTTTCCATTTCTTTTTTGCCATTGGTATACACTAAGGGGTCATTAAACTACATCGCAGGCCAAATCCGGCTCCCGGCCTGTTTTGGTAAATAAAGTTTTATTGGCACACAGCTATGCCTATTTGCTCACATACTGTCTATGGCTAGGGTTGTTTTCATGCTCCAACCACAGAGCTGAGGGATTAAGGGGGTATATCACCCCTTAAAATGTTTCTATCCGGCCCTTTACAGGAAAACTTTAGTGACCCCTCAGATATTCTCATGTCTACAGCCATATATTAGAAGAATTCTAGTTTCTTGTTGATTTGTAATACCTCTTTATATATGAATGACTTTTTGTCACCCACTGAAAACATTTGGAATTTTGAAGAGAAAAGTGAATAACTTTTATGTACTTACATCTGTCCATCTTTTCCTTTCTGGCTTTGGCCTTAAGAGTCAGGCTTAGTGATCACCCTGAGGTTGTAGACGTGTTCCTCATCGGTGTTTTCATCACAGTGCCTCTACGGTGACAGAAGGTCAGGGGTGCTTGTGGCAGACCTAGCACCACTGGCCTCAATTCTGTTCTGAGAAAGTGATACTCAGTGACCACCTTAACCACTCGGCTCATGGCTTTCTCTGCTGTTGACTCACACAGAAGCCACTGAGGACTCCAGGGCCCCATAAGAAGGGTGAGATTACTGAGCTTAATAGCACGGTTTCTGTACCACCCGCCATCTAGTGTCCCTGTTTGTGAAATGGGTCCTGGGTTCCGGTCCTGATCCCCTCACCTGCTATGGCAGAGGACTGCCTGTCTCTGTTTCCCCATCCATATTCTATGACTAGGTTTGGTGTGAGAAATAACTTAGCCCTTAGAACAGTGCCTGACACACAGTTCACCCTCAATAAATGTGAATGGTTTCTATTCTTTTGTAGAGAAAATGCTTTAGACAAGTCATAGACAGGCAACCAATTTGTCAATCAGATAACAAAGGAAAATCAGCTTCCCTAAACCAAGTGACCTAGGCTGCTGGTATGGGGTCCTTGTGGTGGGCTAAGATACATGCATTAGGCACCTGCTGTGTGTATGGTGCAGTCCATGGTACAGTGAGGACACAGGTGACTCCAATAACCTGCAGAGAAGAGGCGAGCAAAACAGTTGATCCTTGAACAGCATGGGTTTGAACTCCGTGGATCCACTTATCCATGGATTCTTTTCAATAAATACTATAAACGTATTTTCTCTTCCTTATGATTTTCTTCATATTTTTTCTCTCTAGCTTAGTTTATTGTAAGAATAGAGTATATAATACATACAGCTTACAAATTGTGTTGACTGTGTTTTTCAGTAAGGCTTTGATCAACAGTAGGCTATTGGTAGTTAATTTGGGGGAGAATCAAAAGTTCTATGTGGATTTTCCACCTGCCCAGGGGGTCGGTGCTAACCCCCGTGTTGTTCACGGGTCAACTGTGCTTGCTTCTGGAGGGAGTGAGGGCCCCCTGGTAGGGATGTGATGGCCTGTAGGGATGGGCAGGAGGGAAGCTAGGATTTGAACAAGGAGAGGGGCTAGTTGTAGAACTGCACGTGGCCAATTTGGGAAGAAGTGGGAGGAGAGGTTGGCATAGGATAGATGCTCAAAACACTTATTGAATGGATGAAATGCTGATGGCAACGGCATAGAAAAGGGGTTCAGGGCTTAGTCCTCAGAGTCAGACCTGGGGGCAAAGGCCAGTGTGACCTGAGGCTATGTAACCCCTGTCTAAGCGTCACTATTCTCATTCCTCAATACATGTTAGTGAGCACTTCCTATGTACCCAGGGACTGTTACAGAGCTAGGTACATGGGGTGGGGGCAAGAACATTAACAAAGCACCAGAGAATTCCCAGGAACTGATAAATAGAGGAGACGAGGGGACCCCACCATGGGGAGGGGCACTGCGCATCGCCACCAGGGCAGCCTCCCAGAAGAGACCATCCAGGCGGAGCCGTGAATGAAGTGAGGAGGAAAAGCAGAGGCTCTGGGGCACGAGTTGGGCACGGTGGGGCGCAGGGCCCGGAAAGCTGGTCTGGTTGGCATGCAGTCGGGGGAGGGCAGCAGGGCCAGGTCCCAGGGCCTGCAGGGAAGCAGGGGGAGGCCATGCTCAGAGCAGGGTTCTAGAAGGGAGGCCTTAAGTGCATGGAGGGGTTCAGAGCAAGGGAGTGAGACTAAGGATGCGAGAATGAGGGGACAGCAGGGCTGAGCGGGGGGGACTCTCGGTCTCCCCAAGGACAAAAGGTGGGAGAGACAAAGGGAGGGATACCAGCTGGACACCATGGAACGGAGGCAAAGGGCAGTGGCAGCTCCCTGTCTCTCTTCCTTGAGCCGGGACACCTGGGTCTGCGAAGGCGGGAGCTCCCACAGGCAGGAGACTGAGTCGGGAAGTCTGAAGTGGTCACGCACGGACCCTCTCAGCTCTCGGAGCCCTAGTCTCCAGACTGATGCGTCTGCAGGGTCGTGGCTACCACCAGCTAGCACTTGTGCACTAGAACTTTCTCCCATGCACAGCCAGGGGAGCAAGCTCTGAGGTTTCAGGAAGAGCGGGTTCCTGTCCCGGGAGGTTGCGTGGGGTTTGCGTGGGCCTCACTGCCCGGCCACCTCCTGCCCCCGAGGGCGGGCCATAGAAGTGCGTGCACCGGCTCCTGCATGTTCCAGAGGCAACTGGGCTTCTACCTGAGTCGCTCGCAGCCAGCAGGAGGGAAAGCGGCTTGTGTCCACCCCCTGCCCTGGCCTCCCCCCGCCCCCCCAGCCCCGGGTTCTGACCAGGGAACCGGCCCTTGCTGAGCGCCCTGATACCAGCGGCTCTGCCCACCGGCTATTTTTAGAAGCCAAGGCGGTGGAAAGTTCCCACTGAGGATCGACTCCTCTCTTTTCCTAGGTTGAGAAAACAGGAAGCCCTTCAGAATCCGGGCTTTGAAAAGCTTCGCTGAAGCTGTGCTGACCCCCTGCCCCCTGGCACCAGGCTTTCATGAGGCCTCACAAAGGCCCTGGCTCACCAGGCCCCTCAGGGCTCTCGAGGGGCAGGGCTGGGGCAGCCATTCGCCATTGGTGCCTGGTGTAGGGCTCCCAGAATTCCCCTGGTACCTGGCACATAGTAGGTGCCCAATTAATGCTGGTTAGCTGAATCTGTCCATTCATCCTCTGAGTTCCCACTCATGGACCCCTTTCCACACTGGAAATGGATGTTATTCTAACGTACATTTGCATGCATGAACATACATGGATCATATTCAAATATGTACATATATATCACATACATATATTACTCTACAAACCAATACCTGCTAGACACTGGCCACTGTGGTAACTGTCACTTGTATCATCTCAAGCTCCTCAACAACCCTCAGAGGAAGGTAACATTTTTATATAAAGTTTACAGATGGGGAAACTGAGGCACAAAGTACTTCCATAACTTGGGCAGGGTTCAGCAAACAGGGAGTGGCAGAGGCAAGACTCTAACCCTGGTCAGCAGGCTCTGGAGCCTGGACTCTCGCCTCGCATGTGCTCTCGGCATCCCTCTGCAGAACAGCGAGCCGTGCCGGACTGGTTGCTGGTGCAAAAGAAAGCATTGAGCCCAGCGCCCCCCACAAAGTGCAGGGGTATCGCTAACCATCGCAGCCACCGGCGACAGAACCCCCTTCACCAGGCCGATGCAAGGAGTTTGTATGTCCATCGCGCCTCACATCCACCCCAAAGGGCACACACTGCTATGATCCCCACTTTACAGATGAGAAAACCGAGGCACAGAAAGGTCAAGCCACACGGCAGCCAGTTTTGTGAGGGAGCTGAGTCACGCTGGACTTGTCCAGCTCTCAAGCAGTGTACATCGCTCTCCTCCTATTTCGGGTGTTGCAGGCTCATCCCTGGACCTAGGAGGACCCAACTTGAACAGGGAGAGACTTTGAGCAAATCTCCACAGTGAGCCCTTACTTCCAGTTTTCCATCTCTAACTGTGGGTGAGGCTGAGATGAGAAGAAAGGAGGCGGCTATGGGAAGGACTCAGTGTCAGAACAAGGAGAGGGAGGTTCATGTACCCGTGATGGGACCGCTCAACTGCCCACCCGAAGGTGTGCACAACCCTAGGGCAGGCGCACACCCCTAGGGCAGGCGCATACCCTGTTGGGCCGCATTGGTGGCAGGGTCTTCTTTCTAAGAATGCAAAAGGAAGCTTTTCACAAGGCCCACTCTTCTAAGACCTCACTGCCTTGATTCCAGGAAGTAGCGTCCTCGATAAGTGGCCCAAACGCGAGAGGAGAGCTGGTGCTGTGTCCTGGGGGAAGAGGCCACCTTCTACTTGATAAGCCTCGCCATGTGGGGCGGGTTCCTGGTTGTGCTGAAAGAGATGATGTGTACATTGGTGGCCAGTCTGTCTGTGGTGTTCCCCCCACTGTCCTTTTACAGGCCTCTTTTGGGGGCTGTACATGCTGTGGGTCAAGGAACTGTGTTTCAGTCATGTAGGTATTTCCTGGATGTTGTGATAATGGAAGGAGTTTGGTGTGCAATAGAGAGTCTACAGCGCATTAAATAAACAGAGGGAGGCTAGGCTATGGACAAGGCTCAGTGGAGCATTAGCCTATGAACCAGGAGGTCACGGTTCGATCCCCAGTCAGGGCACATGCCCAGGTTGCAGGCTTGATCCCAAGTGTGAGGCATGCAGGAGGCAGCCGGTCAGTGATTCTCTCTCATTATTAATGTTTCTATCGCTCTCTCCCTCTCCCTTCCTCTCTGAAATCAATAAAAATATTTTTAAAAAGATAAAAGACAGAAGAAGAGAAACTTACTGAAAACCTGCCACAAGGACCAACTCCATTTCTGCCATGATTTTTCTAAAGTTACCATTTAGACAATTTTCCCCAACAAATCCATAGGAAGGCATTTCGTATGTTAAAAACTGTCAAATCTATTATTGCAGAGAACAAAAATGTGTTTTGGGGGGAAAAAAAAAGCCGACTGTCTTTGGCTCTAGAAAGTGAATCTGACCTGTGTTTTGGTGCCTCTCACTCGCCCCTACTCTCTCTCTTTTCTGTTGTAGTTAACGAAATCATCAGGAAGGAGTTTTCAGGACCTCCCACCAGAAATCAGACGTAGAAGAAGCCATTAGCAAGACACCTTCCGTACCTGTCCCCTCGGAGCCCTCCACGCCCCTCCCGTCTTCCTGAGGGTCCCGCCCGCCCGGAGTCCCACGCGGGCAGCACTCCTCCTGGCAGGCAGCCGACTCATCCAGGAGCTCGCCACCTCTCTCCGGAAACACAGCGAGGACGCTCTGCCTTTTGATTTTTTTATTTTTTTGTCTTAAATCCCAAAGAGCATCTCGGTGGACTTTAATGGTGTCCCGTCCAAACCTGAAGTGCCTGCTGACCAAAACCAAATTCTGATCAAGACAGCACGCCGGACCGCACCTGAGAGCGGGTGACGAGCTCACGGCACGGCTGGTGGGGGATGGAAGGCGCAGCCCTGAGGTTAAACCCCCGTCCTCGACTCATTTCCCAGCTCCGCACCTTCCGGAAGAGAGGAGTTCCCAAACGGAACAGGCAAAGGAATGTGGCCCAAGCGTCCAGCTCACAGGCTGGAGAAACAGAGGCCAGCCCGTCGTCCTTAGGGCCGCCCGGGCGTGCCACAGCGGGGCCACGGCTAACACGTATTCTTAAATTCTCATCCGAAGCAAAACTGCCTGGCCCCGACAAGATCCCCCGTTAGAACTTCTTGGAGTTAAGTTATGACATGTATGCGTTTTCCCTGCTTCATAAGGCTGGCCGAGGTGGCTGGAGGTGGCGCCGCCCTGGCCAGCAGCCCCCGCCCTTGCAGCGCGCCCCGGACTGGAGAAGGTGACCCCAGCTGCAGAGTGAGTGCCCTGGTTGCAGCCACAACCTAACGGCTCTGCAATGACCCTACTTGCTTTCTTCCTAACAGCCAGAGTGCTTTCCCATCAAGGCGTTAAGAGAACCCACGCATGTGCATTGCATTTTCAGGAGGAATGGCACAGGGCTAAAGCAACTCCCCCTTCCCCCCCACAAAAAAAAGCACAGGTATTTTTGTGAAGCGGTTGTGAAAAGAGGCAGTTGGCAGGCCTGAGTGAGTGGGCTCCCCATAGCAGGGGGAAAGGGCCGAATTCCCTCTTTCTGGCCTAGACTCCAAGTGGGACACGCAAGCTCAGGATTTGGCCCTGAAGGTCATTGGTTATTTTGACCTGAACCTATTGAAAGCCCCACTCAGCCCCAAAGACCTTTCTGCACAGCTGCCTCCTCCAGCACAGGACTCATCTGAGTAGGGCTGGCCCACCCACGGTGCACCCTTAGGTATGCATGGCCCCGCCCTCTCGTTTCTCTCCCCTGAGCACATCCAGGGTCCTCCAGCACCTCCCTCCTTTGGTGCAATTTTGCCAACAAAACTCTCAAAGTTCTTAGCAGGTGAGTTTTTATCACAAAGATGTATTTTGTTTGCATTTCCTGCAGACACCCCAGGACGCGCCGGGGGTTCGTTCTCAGCCACTCAGTGGCTTCCCTAGTAACCGACAGTGAGTGTATGCCTGGCACTCTGCGAGAGGCTGTGCTCCAGAGATTTCCGATCAAGTCCGCTAGGTAGAGGGGATCACGGCAGGTGAGGGTCCCCTGTGGGTTTTCTCAGTGCTGGCTTTCTCATCGAGGTTCCCCAGAGGTCACACCTCCCTGGGAGCCGGGCCCGGAGTGCAGGACTTGGTGACCATGGCCCGGTGTGTTTGGTGCCCCAGAAAGAGGACAGAATGCCCAGGTTGGGCCTTTGCACCCTCCTGTCTATCACCTTTTGCTCAAGATAACCTTTGACCCCAAGGGCAGAGGCCCACGCCTCCACCCACCCAAGCACAAAGTTTAGCAAAAATCCTTTGAAACAGACAGAATGCCAGTAAGAAGGCGACCGCTGCTGCAAAGCTTCGGGGATGCAGAATTCTTCCTAATAGAGATCCTTCCACAAGCAGCTCTACCCAAAGACCTTTCTCGCCAGCAACGCTGACTTCACCGGGAAGAGTTCGAGTGTGCGGCGAGTGACATGCTCTCGCGGACCTGGCCGGGAGCCACTTCTTTTGCACATGAGGAAATTTGGCCTTTCCTCAGTTACCTGAATGTCTTACCCAAGTGCCTTCCTGCTATTGTAGCAAAGTCGCCCGGCTTCCCTGAGCATGGGGTGAAAAAGGACTAATGCGTTTTCCATCCATCTTCTAACCATGTTAGTGGCAAGGGCCTCCTGTGAGTTCAGACCCCTGTATGTACACGTGTGTGTGTGTGTGTGTGTGTGTGTGTGTGTGTTATACACACACAAACTCTCTTTTTCTAAGACATCTTAGCTGGATATTATAGGAAGCATTTCCATAAAACAACGATCCCAGACAGCAAAGGAAAGAGAAGCAAGGGCGTTCGTTTTGAGACATAAATAGGCAAGCAAACATGCTATTAGGAGCCGACAGCTATGGAGAAAGTTTTGTCAGTTAACAGATGCCGGAGGAAATTTTGCCAAGAGTAATTGCTCACGAACTACTTTCAGGGTGGGAAGAGGCCGCCGCGTCCTCTAAGAGAAGGAGAAAGCAGGGACGTCTAAGTGGTGAAGGGGTGTGTGTTGCCCATGTGTTAGAAGGACCTCGGTGAGGTGGACGTTTGCACTTGCTACTTTCAAGGTCAGTGCGACAGGTAGCACTTCTAGCAGAGACCTACCGTGTTGCTGAATGTAGTCTATCTCCAAAGTTTGCCAGTCTTCCCGCGTTGTACAAAAATACTGCTGCTTGATAATATATAATAGCGATCCAAATTAGTATGTCATTAAATTTTATTTTCTTATCTGTATTTTTATGCTTTTTATCTGTCCTCAACATAGTGCACCCCGGTTGGAATTAGAAGAATATTTATAAATGGTCAGAAGTCTTTTTCCAGTGTATCTTTTAACATCTATGTTGATTTTTCCCCCCTAAGAGAAATGATGTATTCTTGAAAAGGTGTTAATCATTCCAGGAAATAAGACAAAACCCCACCTCAGAGCCTGTTAGCTGCCTGTCTCCCAGGCAGAAGCATCTCCGGAGAAAGGGGGAGTGGCTTTGTGGCAGAAGGAACCACCTGTCTTGCTTGAGACCCACGCTGCCTGACTCCAGCTCTGAGCCTCGATCTTGTCAGCGAGGGGAACTGTATTGTAAAGTGTTTAGATTCCCCCAGGAAGTAGATGGTATCAAACACCTGCCTGTGTTGTAAGGAGATTCCGGAAGCACCCGTGTTCACAGAATGCCAAGTGCAGGCTAATGTTTACAGAGCTGACTGAATCCCGGTAGATGACCCCACACACACACACGATGCAGAGGACACGGCCTCTGATGACGTGCCTGGCTCCTCCTAAGAGCTGGGAAGCGCTGGAGTGCTTTTCCTGCTTACATCAGCCTCGGCCGAGGTGGCAGCTGCCCCACTGAGACAGATCGGAAGCCAATGTGTTCTGATTGTCACTCTGGACGAAAGCGAGGCAGAATTTGTTTGTTTTCATGTCAAAAGACACTTCCCAAGTGCTTTCTATTGTTCAAAATGGGAAGAGTGTCAGGGGTCCGGTTAACAACTACTCGCTTCGTGTTTACACGAAGCAGGGGGTGGTGACATTCTTGGCAAGCAGGGCGATAAACGTTCCTGAACTTATATTCTTGGAAGGGCAGCACTCTAGCAGGTACCCAACACACCTTGACCTGGTGTCTTCCAAGCTTGAGACTTGGGGCATTCAGGCCCACGGAGCCCCACCGGCCAATGCGCGTGTTCTCCTGCATCCCAGCTAAATACGTAAGCAAAAGGGAAGCTGGGATGGCAGGCACCCATCCCCCCAGCTTTCCCGAGTCCCCGAGTTATAGCCAACATCACTGTCTTAACTTAGTTTGTTCAAAAGCAAACTTCTCTGGTGCTGGTGAGCTAGAGGTGCTCCCTGAGCAAGTCCCTCCCAAGGCGGAGCCGGGGTGCTGGGTGCCGGGTGCTGGGTGCCGGGGGAAAGGTCGAACACTGCCTGATGCAGCTGTTGCCCGAGGAGAATAAACACCTGCCTCTTCAGGGTTTGCATGGACTGGATGCAAATGATGCTGCTTCCAGGAGAGGAGGTGCTTCCAGCATTCTGACTGGCTGTGGGTGGCCGAGCTTAGCATCCTGAACACATGGGCAGAACCTCACTTACCCCAGTGGCCGCCGCGGCCCTCCGCGGGGAGAGAGGGCTGAGAATGTCCGCCTGACTTCCTCGCGATCCACGTCTCTCCAACCGGTGCTGCTGGGGGCTAAGGTTTTGAACATCGACTGTTAAAGGAGTTTGAATACATCACATTCCTATGCAAGACGTTTTTAATCTCCAGTTTAATGTAGTTTATTTTTGCTATCTGTAAAGTATTTTTATACGGCTTGTATCATGATAATTTAGCAATAAAAGAGTTGAAAGCACCGGCTACTTTGGAGTCTCTTTCTCTGTAGAGACAGGCTGCTCAAGAATCCCCTTTCTGTGTTGAGTTCACATAGCAGGGAGCCTTTTTGGGGTACACACACCGTGCATATGTTTACTCTTCATCTCAGCCCTCTGAGGGGGAACCATTCACTTCACGCCTCCCACTGGGGCACAGAAGCCACCTGCCCGACACCGTGGAGCCGTGCGGTCACCTGCATTTGTCAGATTCCCTTGTCCCTGATCATCACCAGCGTCCCTAGGCCTCTAGAAGGAGCCCCCAGATAAGTTAGGTTTATAACGTCTAACCATTCACTTCACACCTCATAGGGGGTCCCAGAGCATTTGCAGCCAACGGGGCTGAGCTGGCCACTCAGAACGCAAAAGCAGATCTCTGCTTAAACATCTTACAAAATTCCAAGTTAAAAAAAAAGGGGTACCCTTTATCATCAACCCACAAACAGAATGTTACAATTAGATATTACAAATACTAGAACTTTCCAGCTGGCTTACAACAACTACGCCCTCTGCTCTCACCTTATAGTGACAGCACCTAAGAGGTTTGGAAGTTGTTGCTATTTAAGTCTTAACAATATTGTTCAGCCTTCATGCCACTCTCAGTGCGACCCGTAAGCCCCAGGCAAGCAGGTGCCCGCCCCAGGCCCCTGCCTCAGGGACCACTCACCCCTGCTCTTGGAATGCCTCCTTGGGGATTTTCCAAGCCTCCTCCCAGGGTCTGCAGCCAGCATCACCATATGGGCGGGGCCCCACGCACATCCAGGGCCATGCATAGGTGCTGCAGCTGGAAGCACCGACCTTGAAATGCCCTCTGGTGACAGGGACCAGCTGGCTCCCACTTCTTCCCTTCAGGGCACCAAGTCAACCAGATGCTCCAAAGAGCTCCAGAACCTGCACCTAAAGGGTCCAGACCGGTTTCCAGGGAGCTTCCTGGTGAGCAGACTGCCCCTGATGGCCAGCCCATAAGTCCTTTTCCTTTTTCCCCTGTGGGATCATGGGAGATTGGCCCACCAGAATGGCGCTGAGACAGCTATCTGAGGGTGCCTCAAATTGCTTATGTAGACAGAAGCCCTACAAAAAATAGTTACCTGCGCCGAAACCGGTTTGGCTCAGTGGATAGAGCGTCAGCCTGCGGACTGAAAGGTCCCAGGTTCGATTCCGGTCAAGGGCATGTACCTGGGTTGCGGGCACATCCCCGGTAGGAGATGTGCAGGAGGCAGCTGATCGATGTTTCTCTCCCATCGATGTTTCTAACTCTCTATCCCTCTCCCTTCCTCTCTGTAAAAAATCAATAAAATATATTTAAAAAAAAAAAATAGTTACCTAGAGGCCACTAGGCCCCTTACGGTTTCTGCTGTGGCTGCACACAACTGATTTTCTTGGTTAACTCGCTTTCTGAAAACTTTTTACCACTTTTCCTGAATAGAAACCCAGAACCATCTTAAACAGAAAACAAGGATAAAACGATACAGACGTTTAAAAAGTAAGCCTCTGTTCACCATTTCTCTGTGAGCCACGCTGGGTAAACGCAATCAAATTCAGCCCGTGCCTTGTTTTCCCAGATAGAAAACGAGGGTAAGCATAGTCCCACCTCCCAAATGGGATGCTTTGTAACAAACGTGAACAATCGATACAATCGCCATCATTTAGCAAACAGAGTTAAGACTCACCCAGAGCTGTACCCCCTGTCCCAACATCTGAAGGAAAGATTCAGAGCTCTGACAATAGGTATTGAATTTTTCTAACCAGACCCTCCAAGACGAAAACGTGAGCTTATCCAATTTTCAAATCCTGATCGGAAAGGGAAACCTCTCGGCCCTGGGCGACTTTGCAAACCTGTGACTGTCCCTCCTCGCTCCGGGCACTGGGTTAGCAACCAGGGGGGCTCAGAAGTAATGAGATCTAGGGGAGAAAACAAAACGCTGACTCCTACACAGCCTGTTCAGGTTCGTCAACTGGAAAGAAACTGGGTTTTTGCAGGAGTTGGTTGAATGTAAAATATTGGGGAGAAGAAGGCACAGACGACAGGGGCCAAATGAAATGGAAGTGAGGTTGTTTCTTTGGCTTGAGGAACCTTGGTAGCTGTGAGGAGCTACATGAGACGAGTTTGCTATCAACGTTATGCCATTTTATGGTATAAAGATGAATGGGGTTGGACCAAACTGTCTGCAGAAAGGGCTTCCCACTTTAAACTGTCTCCTCCCCCCACCCCCTGCCTCCTGGAAAATTCAGAAGTCAAACTTGGTAAATGACCATATATGCATGGGAAATAAACTCATGCATATATGGTCAGTTCATTTATGATAAAGGAGCAAGGTTACTCGATGAGGGAAGGGTAATCTTGTCACTAAATGGTCATGGGGAAACTGCAGTTTCCCCCAAGAGATGAAAATCCCTGCCCTGTGCCAGGATTTCCGGATATTCTTGCTTTCCTAGAAATTTTAAACTCTGAAGCTCGGCACGGAACTCCAGACACAAAGTACAGTGACAACCTGATCTTAATCCTTTATTATTATTACTAGAGGCCTGTTGCATGAAGAGATTTGTGCAGTAGGTCTTCCCCTCTCCTGGCTGCCGGCACCGGTTTTCCTCCGGCACCCGGGACCCTTCCATCTTCACGGCTCTGGCTCACCTTCAGTCTTAGCCCCGCCACCTGGAGCCTACATATGCAAATTAACCACCATCTTTGTTGGCGGTTAATTTGCATATCACACTGATTAGCCAATGGGAGACATAGCGAAGGTACAGTCAATTACCCTGTTTGTCTATTATTAGATTAGATTATTACTAGAGGCCTGGTGCACGAATTCGTGCACCAGTGGGGTCCCTCAGCCTGGCCTATGGAATCAGGCCGAAACCGGTTCTCTGACATCCCCCAAGGGGTCCCAGATTGCAAGAGGGCACAGGCCAGGCTGAGGGACCTCACCAGTACACAATCGGGGCCAGGGAGGTATGCGGGAGGTTGGCAATGATTTTTTTTTAAATTAACACCAAAAGCACAGGCCACAAAAGCAAAAAAAAGTCAACAAATAGGGCCACATCAAACTAAAAAAAGCTTCTCCACAGCAAAGGAAACCAACTTAATGAAAAGGCAACCTTTAAAACAGGAGAAAATATCTGCAAATCAGACAAGGGGTTAATATCCAAAATATATAAAGAACTCATAACTCAATAGCAAAACAAACAAACAAAAAGCAAACAATTTGGTTTTTATAAAAAATGGGCAGAAGAACTGAGTAGACATTTTCCCAAAGAAGACATACAAATGGCTAATAGGTATACAAACACATGCTCGACTTCACCAATCAGCAGGGAAATGCAAATCGAAACCACAATGAAATATCACCTCATAGCTGATAGGGTGCCTGTTATCAAAAAG